ATGTTTCCACTTTGTCATAATATTCTCTCTCTCTCTCTCTCTCTCTCTCTCTCTCTCTGTAAGTGTGTGTGTGTAAAAATTCTGGTATAAATAAAAATATATCTGTAAAAAGACAATATGAATAAAGACATTTTGTCTTTATTCATATTGTCTTGGTAATGTTTTTCTTTAATCGAATTCACCCCAAGCAAGGCAGTAAAGTCACTAAGACACAATGGGTTACTAGGCATTTAAGAATTAGCAAACGGAAATATTACTAAGGAGTAAGAACAATAGAACAACAATCCGAAGAACAGTAGATAGCGATTGACACTGTAGTTAAATTTTGAAGAACATGAACTATTGAAAGTTAGTTGTGTCCCTATAATTAACATTCGCATTTATTATATAGATAAATATATGTAAGTATACATATACTCCATAATGGAAGCTAAAAATTTTAAATTTAATTATATAATTAAATTAAAAGCATTAGTTCCGTTTCATCTTCAAGCGAATATTGGCATAACTTATTTTAAAATTTACTGAGATTTAAAGGCATATATAAATTCATAATTTACTGTTTCCAAGGATACAGAGAAATCCAATCATTCAGACAAGGGGCGGTAGCGTATTCATTTTTATTAATTATAGTTGTATCAATTATGAGTTACGTTTAGGTTAAGGTTAGGGAGGGTAGGGGTGTATTTTTCAACGAATTCTGACATCCGTTAAATGCATGTCGTCTGTTTTTTTTATATTAACGGCAAAAAAATGTTCGGCATTTTTTCTTACTTGTATATATATAGATTCTTTTTTTACGTTTTATTTAACTACAATTTTAAAATATTTTTTACTCTTAATTTCTAATAGACTATATTTCTTTTTAAAAACAAGTAAATGTAATAGAATTACTTACATTATTTAATTTTTTCTTATTAAATATAAGTATGTATATTACCAGCTCCCATTTTTTAATTTTATTTTCAAATATTATTTATGAAAATTTTTGACAATGTCGGCAAAAAATAGCTATGTCTTTGATTCAGTAAACTTTTAATTTTTATAAACTTAATAAATATATAGTTTCTCATGTAAGCACAAAGGACATGGGTCATGGTTCAACGCACTCTTTTGGTCCTGTCACTGGATCTAACAAACGCCTTTATCCACTGTGCCATGTGTCCTGGAGGACCCAAAGCGTGTGAGTTCAATACCCGGTTAAGGCCATGGAGAACTTGGAGAGGGGAATTAACAGGATATAACTGATAAATGACATCCATTAGACATGGCATGTGGAACTAGAACAGTCTACCCCAGTGAGCGAAATAAAGGGTTCAGTTCGACATTCCAACAACCCGAAGAAGGCCGGAGCGTACAACGGCCGAAACGTTGTAATAAATATGGTGACAAAGATGAGAACAATAGTCGAATAATATAAATAATGTATATACTTCCTCATCTCAAATTATATATATATATATATATATATATATATATATATATATATATATATATATATATATATATATATATATATATATATGTAACAAATATATGGATATAAATCCGACAGTATGAAAAGAAAAATACAGAAAAAAACAAAATTCTGAATACCAATTGTGTTAAAATAAACTCGAATCGGACGTTTGGGTCCTCTTATGACCATCTTTTTGGTTAAATTTTCATTTAAACATAATTAACATTATAAATAAAAATTTAACACAAAGACGATGGACTAAATAGACCGAAACGTCTGACGTTTTTTATTTTTAACATGTTTAATGCATATTCAGAATTTTGTTTTTTTCTGTATTTATTTCATATATATATATATATATATATATATATATATATATATATATATAGGTAATTAGGTAAACAAAAGAAAAACGCGATAATAACAACCAACAATAAAATAAAATAATAAAAAAATAAACTAAAAGCTCTATAAATAGTCAAAAAACTGAATTCAGTTTACAATTATTCCCAGAATACGTTGAAACGTTAGAATAATACAACAGACTACCCACAATGCAATGCAATAGACTACCCACAATGCCTCACTGACCTGCATGTATGAATAATCGAGCAAAAACACAATGCCCACAGCCTGGCGATTGCGTTTATCATGAAACAGACAGTTTCCTCTGAGTATTGACTTCAATATACACTTTTATATTTGCATAGACTCCATCACTGATATTGAACACTTTAACCCATAAATATAGCATACCTTAAAACTATATTTTAGTACACACACACAGATATATATATATATATATATATATATATATATATATATATATATATATAAAGGGAAGTGGTTATAGTAGTTCCAACGAGAGAAAAGTGTATATATTAAAAAGAAGAGAGAAACCGTAAACGTTTTTGGTTGTAATGTGGATTTTTTAAAAATATATATTATGCTTTATTTTCCATAATTTTGCAACACAGGTTTCGGGTCCGCGACCTTCTTCAGGCAAAGAGTGGATATTTCCACATATTATTAAAATGAATTTATTTTCCTTATGTTTTTCGATGTTAAAGATTCTCGATGTTAAAGATTCTCTTTTTTGTGTGGTAGTGATACAAATGTAATTTATGTACTCAAATGCACAAAATGCAAGAAGTCATATATAGGTATCAGCCAACAACTGAACAACAGGGTTTCCCCACACAAAAACAACATATCTATAAATGTAACCAGAGTGAATTTAAAATTATGCCAATATACCAAACAGACAATTATTCTTACCTACAAATACAAGAAAAAAAAACTTCATAAACAAATTTAAACCATCACTAAATAGATCATAACCCCACAGGCAAAAACACACAACAGGCACACATAATGGCCAAATGTAGCGGTCAAACCACTCGCATCTATGCGCACACGCTCACACGCGGTATGTGTGGAGCTCGAATATGTAGACACATACTGGCAAAAACAATAGGCTGCTCACAAGCACACACACGAACCCTTCACAACATTGGAAGAGTGTATATATGTATGTATATATGTATGTATATGTATGTTAAACGATTTTTTAAAAAGTCACTCATTTTCTTTCTCTTTTTTACTATTGAGAAAAAATAATAAAAGATTTAATTATTTTAAACACACACAAATTACACATTTTTCGTTTCCCATCTGATGAAGCCATTATCGGATATTATTTTCGAAATATATTTTCATGCATGTTACTCTTAATGTAATGTAAATAACTATATAGATAATGTCAATATATATATATATATATATATATATATATAATAGTAATTCATCGATTCTAGAAGAATACTCAACAGAATGCAGAATGCAGGTCCTATTTTTAACTCATCAGCAGCGCGCATCCACTCCCGGGAATCGAACCCGAATTCGAGTATAGATATTAAAATAATCATAATATATATAATGTTTATTTTAATACCTATAGTCGACTGCTGTAAAAGATACGGAGAATACAATTTGCAAATGAAAATACATTTAAACAAACTGGTATCTGTGGAAAAAAATTACAAAAAATAAAAGCCTAAAAACATCCGTGTATGTCGAAAAAATATCGCCCAACATCGTAATGTCTAACCAAAAGAAAAAAAAATCGAGTAAAATAAGAAAAAAAGCTCAATGCAGTAAGTAAAGAAACTACCTACCTAGGTTTCACCTAAATGTATCTTCAGCGTGAAACCTAGGTAGGCAGTATCTGACACTAGGATCTCAGTATCTCTTCATTCAAACGTTTCATTGAATAATATAGATATATTGTGTCTACTTATTATTATGCTGATCCTTTCCTGTTGTCTAATCAGTTTCTTGATGTTAAGATGAAATTCAAGGAAGGCGCCGTAGTTGTTTTTTTCTTTTACCCAAGTAGTTAAAGGATCTGGACGAAAATTTTTAGAAGCGTAAAACATTTGTTATATGCACTTTAGTATGTTGTTGCTATATTTGTAATAAATTTTGTTGAATGTTGGTTGATTGATTTTGATATAAAGGGTCTCGAGAATTTAAAGTTTCTGTTTATGATTTTTCATAGCGTAGTATATTGGTGTTGTTAACAAATATTTTCCTGTATTGTGAAGGGAGACAGAAATATGTCCTCCAGAAGGAATCGAACCTGTGTCCTCCTTCGTAAAAAGGTGTCTATCTCTATAATAACGTTTGAAATAATAAAAATGCCAGATTAAAAATAAATCCATTAATTCTTTCGATACATTTCTATATCGCAATCGTCTGAAGATGTTGTGAGCGTGAAACTCGAGTAACGACACTGGCTGTCCTTTGATAAGAGGAAACATCTAGACAATCTGGGCATTGAGCACCTTTTTCTGTACTGAGTCGGCAGCTGTTTGCTTTTGGTATTTCTTTTTATTTTTTGCTTTCCTTCTGTGAGATTTTCTCTTGATTAGGATGTTAGGTCTTCGGACAAGTTGTCTGTTGATAAACCAACGTATTCCTTTAATATGTATACATACATACACACACACACACACACACACACACACACACACACACACATATATATATATATATATATATATATATATATATATATATATAATTTCTCAGGAGTTAACCTGAAGAAAAAGTCAATATGTATAAAGGTAAAAGACAATAGGAAACTGTATTATTAGCCAACACGTTTCGTCCAATGTGGACTTTTTTGAGGCAAAAACGAAAAAAAAATGCCTTCGAAAAATCCACATTGGACGGAACGCGTCGGCTCATAATACAGTTTCCTATTGTCTTTTCCTTCTCATATGATATATGTGTGTGTGTGTGTGTGTGTGTGTGTGTGTGTGTGTGTGTGTGTGTACTGTTTTTTCTTCCTTATTTATAACATTTCTTTTATTTTTTTCTGCTGATGTGGACTTGACAAATAAATATAGAAATGAAACTATGGAAAAGGCGTGATCGGTGAATAAAAGAGAACTTAATTATTTTTCTAGCTTTTCTTCATTATTGTTGTTACAGTTGTGATTTTTTTTTTTTTACTTTCTTCCCTTTCTCTTCAAATGTTTTCACTTTTTTCTTACCATGCAAACTTCTGAGAACTTAACTAATTTGATTAGCTTTTTGCCGTAATAGTTCAGCCATGTTTATCCAGCAGATCCCAAATTCCCTAGAGTTCAGAAGAAAAATACTTGGAAGAATTTTGTACAAAGAGAAAGCAACATAAAAAACAAAAAAATGCAATAAACAAAGAACAGTTATGATAAACAGTAGTTAAATAAAAACAGTCTTCTTCTTCTTCTTCTTCTCTCACTCTCTCTCTCTCTCTCTCTCTCTCTCTCTCTTTTACTATTTTCTTCACTTGCTTCGCTTTCTTTTCTTCTTTTTTTTTTAACTCCGACATTTTTACGTTTATTACTTGCTTCTTTTTTTCTTTTTCGTTTTCTTAACAGTTGTTAAACCAAATGAAAACAACTTCTTTCTTTCTTTCTTTCTTTCTTTCTTTCTTTTTATTCTCTCTCCTTATCTTTATTCTCTCTCTTCATTTCTCTTCTTTTTATTTCTATACATAGCCTACATTTTTCCTTTTCAATTTTCCTTTATCCATTTCTATTACTTTTTCAAGATTTTCTTTCTTCTACGTCGCTTTCGTTTTATTTTTCTCTTTCTTTTGTTAAACATTTTTCTCCTTTCTTTTCAGTTCTCTCTCTCTTTACTTTTTTCTTGAATTTCTTTCTTTTTTTACTTTGTCACTTTATTTCTTTCTTCTCGTTCTTCATTTTTTTCTTTTTCGCTTTCTTAACAGTAACTAAATAAAATGAAAACTTCTTCTTCTCCTCCTTTTTTCTCCTCTTCGTCTTCCCCTCGTCCTCTTCTTCTTCTCCTTCCCTCTCCCACTCTATTTCTTCTTCTTCTTTCTCCGTTTAATACCTAGTATCAGAAGAAGGAAATGAGAAAGATCAAAGTGAAGAAAGAAGAACAGTGAGAAATCAGTGGAAAGATTAAAGAGAGAAAAGAAACAAAGTGAGAGAGAGAGAGAGAGAGAGAGAGAGAGAGAGAGAGAGAGAGAGGACATAAACGTGTGAGAAAAGGCCTGCAAAGAATCAGACATGATTAATTTTAACATTAAAAAGACGCAAGATCTAAAAAGATGGGAAAATGCTGCGAAGTTTAAGAAGACAGCATCTAAAATTTAATGAGTTAATATTTTCGCTATGATATCTACAAAGAAAAATGGCGACGAGTCGGGGCACATCAAGAACAGATGCTACCTATAAAAGGAATATTATAAGAAAGAAGTGGGAAAGAAAAAGGGGGAGATTTTAATAAAAAAAAAGAGAAGAAAGGATTAAATGACGTGAGAAAAAAAGATACGAATTAAAAATGGCGGAAAGTTAAATAAAAGGAAGATAAAAACATCGAAATGACTTTAAAATAACCTGGAAAATAATGGCGGGAAGAGTAAAAGGAGAAATGAATTAGGAAACGCGAAACTTAAAAAAAGTATAGAAGGAAAAAGAGATGAAGAAATGATCGAGCAAAAGAGAAAGAATTGAAGGAGAATAAAAAAAAATAAGTATGACAAATAGTAAAGAAAATACGAGAGAATTGAGATATGAAAGAAGAAAGAAAGAAACAAACGGACAATTAGATTGAATAAGAGAGAAATATAAAAATAATTAATAGAGGAAAGTGCAAAATATATTAACACGAGAAAATGAAATAGCAAGCCCAGTGGGGTGCAAAAAGGAATGAATAAATATGAAAAAGAAAAAGAAAAAAAACAGATAAATGTTGAAAGGAAAAAGAAGGAAAGAAGAGAGAAACAGGATAAAAGGAAAAAATGGAAAGAAAGTAAAAAAGAAAGAAAGAAGTCGGGAAAGAAACAAAAACGGAAGAAAACAAAAGAAGAATAGAGACAGGAGAGAAAAGAAAATAACATGGAAGAAAGAAAAAGGGGAGAGAAAAAAGAAATAAAGAGAAAAATAAAGACGTAAAGAAGCGAAAAGAAAGAAGCAAAAATGGAAAGAAAGAAAGAAAGAAAGAAAGAAAGAAAGAAAGAAAGAAAGAAAGAGAGCGTGTAGCTGAGGGAGTGGGTTATACAGGTTTGCAAAGAAAGAAAGGTCATAGAGAAATATCAGAAATAAATAAGAAATCCTGATGAAAAGAAAAAAAAAGAAAAAAAAATCGAAGCAAGAAAAACAGGGAAACAGGTTGAATGAGAGACAAAGTGTGTTCGAGAGTATGTGCGCATGCGTACGTGTGAGAGCGGTTTAGATTAAATGAAAACTTCACAGAGTTTTCCTTTGTCATAGATTTTTCGCCAATGAACATCAGAGGCGGGAAGAATTGTGGCGGAAGAAAAACTGAAGGCGCTGAACGAAAGGGAGGAAGATAAAAAAAAAAAAAAACTGAAGAAAAAAATAAGGAAAACGATTCTTTGTCGTTTCTATTGATGCTATGTGATGCACTCGGATTGCGTTGGTGCTTAAGGCACCGGACAGACATGACCGCTCCGTTAGGTACGTCCACCAGAAATGGGTAGGGAACGCCGGAAACGGGGGAGAAAATGAAAGCACTAGAATGTGAAAGAATATTAACTTCATGTGTAAACAGGCGTAAAATATGTTGAGAGAATATAAAAATCTGTGTGCGCGTGAGTCTGAAGAAAAATTCTATCTCCTATGATCAAAATAATGTCAGGTTTATCTAAAGGTTTCCTTCGTTTTAATGACAAAAGCTTTTATTTATAAATTCATAGCATCATTATTCAAACTTATGAACTTTTCTCCGGACTTCTAGGACGTTGTCCTGGCACTCAGCTGAATGTTACATTCCGTCATATAACGGCCTACGGCCATATCACGTTGAAATACAGGTCCTCGTTCGATCACCGAGGTTAAACATCGTCGAGCCTGTTCACTACTTAGATGAGTGACTACCCGAGAACATGAGTGGCTGTAAGCTTGGATGTGTGCATGGTGAAATGAATATTGGATTGGTGTTTGAAATTGGACAGTCGAATTTCAATTCTAGTCGGATTCTTACAATTAATGTTTTGGTATTTCTTCTCTTTTTTCTACATTCTGTAGAATTTCCTGTATTTTGTATTCCATCGTATAAAGACTTACGGTCATATCATATTGAAATATTGGTGTTTCTAAATTCACCGAAGTGAAACAACGTCGGGCCGGGTCTGTTCCTAAATATGTCATAACTTAGGAATACCTAGCTTGGGTGTGCAGGTGGTGTAATGTATAATGGCTTGGAATTTTTAATCGGAGAACTGAGTTCTAATTTTCGTTGGATTCGTTATATTCGATTATACACAAATACTCTCTGGAAAGTTATGAATCAACCTCTTCTCCCCCAGCTATAGGTTAATCAGTAGAACTAGCATATCACTATTATCTCCAAAACGTTCTTACGATCTAAAAATATTTTCTGGCTTTAAACCACCTACAAAGTTTGATTATTCGTAAAAAATAAATCAACCAATCAATCTTTTTTTTTTTTCTAATCATTTAATCCCAAGCAAGGCAACATAACCACTAAGACTCAGTGTGTTACTGAATGTGAAAGAATATAAGAAAAACATTATTAAGAAGCGAGAACAATTAAAGAAGAGAAGTTAAGGAGAGAGAAAATAACAATTGACATTGCATTTAGATCTTTGAAAATCGATTTTTGCTGGAAAGGATAGAACTGGAAGAGAGTTCATCAAGCAATAAGTGTGAGAGAAAAAATTGGTAGTATAGAACTTATTGGTTCATCTGGCCAATTCACTTGTAAATTGATGAAGATTTGCTGCCAATCTAATACTGAACTTAAATTTAATAAAGTCTATGTACCATAGGGGAAGGTTCATCAAAATAATTACCATAAAAGTATTTATAGAAAAGGCACAGAGAAGCTACATTATGGTGGTAGGAAAGTGACTGAAACACCAGATCAGGACCAATAACATTGCATATTCTTCTTTGGATTCAAAATTGAAATCTTAATCTATTTTTTTTTATTGAATGTCCATTCTCCTCCTTTCCCCTTTCACACAGGAGGTATTCCGATTGTGTAATGTGTGTGTGTGTGTGTGTGTGTGTGTGTGTGTGTGTGTGTGTGTGTGTGTGTGTGTGTGTGTGTGTGTGTGTGTGTGTGTGTGTGTGTGTGTGTGTGTGTGTGTGTGTGTGTGTGTGTGTGTGTGTGTGTGTGTGTGTGTGTGTGTGTGTGTGTGTGTGTGTGTGTGTGTGTGTGTGTGTGTGTGTGTGTGTGTGTGTGTGTGTGTGTGTGTGTGTGTGTGTGTGTGTGTGTGTGTGTGTGTGTGTGTGTGTGTGTGTGTGTGTGTGTGTGTGTGTGTGTCATGGGTGTGTGTGTGTGTGTGTGTGTGTGTGTGTGTGTGTGTGTGTGTGTGTGTGTGTGTGTGTGTGTGTGTGTGTGTGTGTGTGTGTGTGTGTGTGTGTGTGTGTGTGTGTGTGTGTGTGTGTGTGTGTGTGTGTGTGTGTGTGTGTGTGTGTGTGTGTGTGTGTGTGTGTGTGTGTGTGTGTGTGTGTGTGTGTGTGTGTGTGTGTGTGTGTGTGTGTGTGTGTGTGTGTGTGTGTGTGTGTGTGTGTGTGTGTGTGTGTGTGTGTGTGTGTGTGTGTGTGTGTGTGTGTGTGTGTGTGTGTGTGTGTGTGTGTGTGTGTGTGTGTGTGTGTGTGTGTGTGTGTGTGTGTGTGTGTGTGTGTGTGTGTGTGTGTGTGTGTGTGTGTGTGTGTGTGTGTGTGTGTGTGTGTGTGTGTGTGTGTGTGTGTGTGTGTGTGTGTGTGTGTGTGTGTGTGTGTGTGTGTGTGTGTGTGTGTGTGTGTGTGTGTGTGTGTGTGTGTGTGTGTGTGTGTGTGTGTGTGTGTGTGTGTGTGTGTGTGTGTGTGTGTGATGAAATTGGTGAGAATTAATACCCAAGCACATATTTAAAAATAAATAAAGTTTAAAATTTCAGCGTTCTCTCTACTCTGTCCAAATGCGTAGTCGCATCAAAGTAAACATCACTTCAGTCTGATGAAGTCCTAAATAAAACTTTTCCTACTTTATAGATAGATATATATATATATATATATATATATATATATATATATATATATATATATAATTGATTTTACTTTTTATTGCTCTACTCTGTATTGAGCCTCTTTTTAAATTAAATGGTACAGACGTTGGAATTGTACTCTATTCGTTCTCATCGTGCATATATATATATATATATATATATATATATATATATATATATATATATATATATGTTTGTGTGTGTGCGTGTATACTGATATATGTGATCATATGCGTATGATTGTGACTGAATTTGAATATTGCGCATTGTTTGATATGTGTAGGTCTGAGTGAGCTTCTGTAAACATGTTGGTGGGCATGCGCGTATCGACCTCTCGTGGTCCTGGTGTCTGCTTCAGCAACCATCTCGGCCGATACCTCCAGGTTGCTATGTCGTGGCTATAACAGCCATGAGCCTCTTACATTTTTCTTCGCCCGAGACGGGGAGGGCCTGGGGGTGCAAAATCTCACGGATGTTTGCCCGTTCATTCACCCAGGCGTTTATTGACAACGAAGTTTCGTGCTTCATTTAGCGAAAGGTTTACAGTGCACTTGCCAAATGAACGATGTTAATTGATGCAAAAGAAGCCATTACTTATGACAATTCAATAAAATTGTCTAATTAGCGCTAAAACAATGAAGCTCCCACTTCCAAACAAACAAACAATGAAGACCAACTCCCAAACAAAGGACGAATGAAAAAATTGACAAAAACGAGAACCATTTTTAAATGATGTCTGTTAAATGAAAGTTAGAAATTTCTTCCCCAAATTTCTTTGAAAATATTAAATTAATAATTTAATGCAAAAATATTAAAACATAATTTCAAGCGATTGTATTCTTTAGATGAAGCATTGCTAAATATATTAATTTTTTTCATTATTATTTTTAGATGTAAATAGCACAGTGTTGTTAACATAGTAAGGAAAATACAAGATGATTAATTACTTATTTATGGTTTATCAACCTTTGCAGGTTGTTTAAAACCAGAAAATAGTTTTACATTGTAAGAACGTCTTGGGGATAATAATGATTTACTGATACAAGTTCTACTAATTAACCCATAGCTGGGAGAGAAGAGGTTGCTTCATACCTTTCCAAAGTAAATTTAAGTAAATATGACCAACACGGCTGCAATTGGAACTCGGCTCTCCAATCTCCAATTCCGAACAGTTATCCATTACACCACCCGCACATCCAAGTTCACGGCACCTGATATTCCCAAACGGTCACCAATCTAAGCACTGACAAGGCTCGACGTTGCTTAACTTCGGTGATTCTAGGAGCATCGGTATTTCAATATGATATGGCCGAATTCTTTTTTTTTTTTACGATGGAGGAATTCCTACAGAAGTTAATTTAGAAAAATGAGAAGAAAGGCCTAAACATCAGTTGTAAGAAGACAGTGTTTGGTTGTCAGCAAAAAGGTTCCAACATGCGTATTACGAATTGAAGATGCCCAAAATCAAGCAATTATAAAAATCTAAATACCTAAGAAATGTTTTAAGAAAGGATGGAAAGTGCGACACCGAAATCTGAAGGCGCATTCGAATAGCGAAAGATGCCTTCTAAAAGCTAAGTGAAGTATTAAGAAACAGGAAAATCTCATCAGAAATAAAGAAAAGAGTTCTGAAATATCAGTCCTCCTTTATGACAGGGTTATGCTGGACAAAATCTCATCACAGATGAAGGAGAGACTTGAGACAACAAAAATGTGGCTCTACAGAAGGATGCTGAGAATATTATGAGCTGAACATGTGAACAACGAAGAAGTTTTAGAGAAAATGGAAACAAAAAGGACATCAGGAAGAGACAGTTGAAATTTCTAGGCATAAGAAAGAAAGAAGGCTAAGAAAATTTGACACTCACATGACACATTGAAGGCAGGAAAAACAGCGTATAACTTATCTAAGCAGCTTGTATGAATTGGTGGCAGAATGTATATTGGAAAAGATAGCGAAGAGACAAAATTTATTAAGGTCGGAAAATTGTGGAGAGCCATGATCTCCAACATCCTGAAGTGACAAGTCACATAATATAATAAAAACAGACATAATTAAAATGAACAAGACGAAAACTCCAACAAGTAGTTGGCAATATGTCAAGAGGAAAATGAAGAAATAGAAAAATATTTTTATAAAATGGGCTAACCTGTTATTGCTCTTCACTCGATCGAGGAAATTAAAATATTTTGCAGGCCGACTACAAAGGAAAAACATGAGGAAATACACACTTATCAAAGATATATCTAGAGATACTAAGTCCTAGCAACCAATCCTTTTGTATGCATAAGGATGCTTGTCTTGATTTAATATAAACTGTTTCTAGGACATTTAAGTGATAGTGGGAATGCGTTCCGTTCAAAACATATTCTCACGGGCGGCTTATACACATTCCCAATGTTTGTTCTTAGATTGCTGACCCGGATGTAACGGAACTTTAATACAAATTTTCCAGTTGACCTTTTCTAATATAATTTGGTACATGTCAAGTTATTCTCTTCTTGTGCCTTTTAATCATTTTTGTTTTTATCGCATTAATTAAATTTGGTAAAACTAAGATATTTGTTTTTTATTCTCTCAATTTCTACTCCTTTTATTGCATCTTCCATATTGTCATTCTCTTATCATTCTCTAACATTCGAGTAATAATGCTTAAATTACAGAAATGAATTGGCAAACTTGGACTTTCGTGCCCACAAAATAAAAAAAAAAGAAGCGGAGTGTCAAAAGAGCGGTTTTACCATTGACACCACTATTATTATTTTTTTATTATTTTAACAACCTTCTCTTCTCAGCAATGTTTATTGTTTTAAAAAACGATGATTAGAATTTTAATAAAACCTAAACATATGAAGAAAGTGAATTTATACATTTTCTCTGTTCTTGAGAAATGACAACAAAAATAATAAATATTTATTAGATTGTTTATTGAAATGGTTGGCAAAACATCGGACAATTGCCAATTGATTCCAACTTTATAAAATGGTAAATAATAAGAATTTCGTTAGAGTTGGTTCACATATTTTAATAGTTCAGTAAATGTTTATAAATTTACGAAGAAAAAATTGTTTTCATATTTTTTTATAATAATAATAAACATTGCATTAGTTTTAATATAACCATATTAGTTTTTAGAATGTTGTAAACATATAAAATTATTCTTGTAAATAAACAATTTTAAAAACTGTTTTTTATGTAAATTCTCAAGAACAAAACAATGTATAATATCACTTCCATCACATGTTCAGGTTTTATTCCAATTCTAATGATTGCTTTTTAAAACAATAAACATTGTCGAGAAGTGAAGGTAGTTAAAATATAAGCGGTGTCAAGGGAAAGACCGTTCTTTAACGCGTAGATCCAAATTTGCCGATGAATCATTATGAAGTATTTTACTTTTATGTACCGTGTTCGTTCAGGACGTTAGCGATCATGGCTCTCCATAATTTCCTGTGCTTTGTAACACTTTTGTTATATCTCCTAAATCTTGCTCCGCCATCCATATACTCAGGCTCTATAGATAGATTATGCGTTGTTATCCTCTGTCCCTCTTGCCTTCAAACTGTCCTGTGAGTATCAAATTTTCCAAGCCTTTTTTTCTCGTCATATGCTTTGGAAGGTTCAACTCTCTTCCTACTGTTAAGTATAATTGTCTTTTTTGTTTCCATTTTCTCTAAAACTTCTTCGTCCGTGTTCTGTTCATAGCATTCTCAGCATCTTTCTGTAGAACCACATTTCTGCTGCTTCAGGTTTCTTCTTCGTCTGTGAGGAGATTGTCTAGCATTTTACTAGTGTTATTCTGTTATCATTCTCTCGCTTTTCGTTGCATCTTTGAAATTGTCATTTTATTATGTTATTACTTTTATGTAATAATATCTTAATTATTTTGATTAAAGTTTTTCAAACATTAAAAAAAGTTTTTGACTACTTTTTTATTGTTTTCATTTCTGCTGACTTTTTTGATCTGCCTTTCAATCGTTATTCTGTTGTCATTCAATAACGTTCAAATGAAATAAATGAATTATTATCAAGTATTTTTACTAATATTTTTTTATTGACATAATTTCTCGTGCAATCGTCCATCCTTAAGTGAACAGCCCCTCTCGACCCTCCATAATTCTTACCATCCTCAAGCATCTTTGGTGGTGAACAGGACATGTGTAAGCAAACTGGTCCCTTAAAGACTCCCGCTGACCATCATTTACAGAGACTTCATCAACGGCAAACGACATCGCCGAGTCCCAAAACGCAGATTCAAAGACCAATTAATGAAGTCTTCTTTCCTTCAAGCAGGACTCAACTCTATTATTTGGGAAACAGAAGCCGCCGACCGTCCATCCTGGTGAAGAGCAATTTCCAATTTCGATACCGAGACTGTTTTAATCCCGACTTGGCCTCTTGAGCCATGTCAGGTTCAAACATCGTGGAGGCACCGAATGAACCAAATTCGGAAACGAGTCGTGCCGATGGCGTTGATTTCTCGTGATTTTTGTTGCAACTTTAAATCGTCATTCTGTTATTTCATTACTTTCATGTAATAATCTAGGAATCATTTTGATGAAAGATTTTCAGATATTTTTATTAGTTTTTAACTGCTATATTTATCGTCAATCTGATCTTATTTAAGTAATAATCTTCGAATTATTTCGGTGAAACATCAGACATTTTTAAAGTTTTTACAATTATTTTTATTGTCTTTGTTTCGACTGTTTTTACCGTACCTTTCAAATCATGATTTTATTATGACTTTCAAGTAATCATCTTTGAAGTTTGTAGATGAAGAAGAGTTTTGTCGCCCGTCATATGACATTGTGTTTTAATGTTTTAATGTTAGATTATCGCTGTGTTTGGAACTCTAACGGCCAAGTCTCATTGGTTCATTCATCTGAATTACTCTGGACACAAAGGAAAAACCTGATGATACAATCTAATGTTGTCTTTGAAGTTTCGATGTTGTACATGTCCCCGGTTGTTCGTTAATTCTTGCAAATATTGGAAGCGGGAATTTGGTTGAGGCCGAAACAAAACTTTACTCCTTTGACAGCAGTTATTAAATTTCCTATACGGTACAAAATTGAATGAATCGCAAATCTCACGCTCTCCATTTAACCACAAATTTGGTCCTTGAAATATATCAGTATTTACTTTATCTTGCCTTCTAATTTATCTGCGAATAGCAATCGTCTATTTGTCAACATCTGTATTCTATTAAATATAACGTGGCATATTTTACGCATTACGGAGCAACGGGCACTAGTTTTTATATTATACATATTGTTCTCATGCAAGTTTTCACCTGACATCAAACAATTTATTCAACACCAGGAGGAACTAACCAAAATGCTTAACAGACATCCTGAATCTGTTGTTTTTAATAAAACATGTATATATCAAGACTTGCTGCTAAGTATATATATATATATATATATATATATATATATATATATATATATATATATAGGACATATATATATATATATATATATATATATATATATATATATATATATATATATATATATATATATATATATATATATATATATATATATATATATGTCCTGTTTTGCAAAAAATATAAGAAGCAAAAACTGAATTCTCTTAACTAATGAAACAAATTTTTAGACTGAAATGTAATTTCTCGAAATTTCATGAAATTATGTGTGTGTGTGGTGGGGGTAACATGTGTAAAAAATATATTTTTTCCAAAATTTTCTAAAAAATAATTAAAAAATAATGACATTAATTTGTGAATAAGTCCTGAAAGGTTAATTAAAATCCGACAATTATTTGAATTTTGCGAGAATTTCTAAATCAATGTGTTTTTCAGTTGAAAAAGGCGCTAAAATGCTAATCGTAAATATTACGTCGACCACTGACGGAAACAAAAAACAAGATTTAGAAAAGATTAAACAACTTAATAAAATTTAATAAAAATCCTTTGAACTTTCGTCTTAATAATAACATAAACATTTTGACGATAAACCTTTGTTTTTATTAAGTATGGTGCCTTTTTTCATCATGCTATATTTGTTGTTGTTTCAGCCAAAAAGTGGAATTTAATGCACACGAAAGACATGCGTGATTTTAGTACACATTGGGAATCTTTTATCCGAAATTCTTGGGAGCGGAACTCTTTCCGTTTTCAGATTTTGGAATGCAGGCTATTTAATTTGTGTATAGCATCTATAAAATGGGGCAGTTTGGGAATGAAAGCCAAGCATAAACACAATATCCCTTTACATTTCATAACACAGCTTATACATATACCCTGAATGTAGTTTTATATAAAATTTAATATATTTTGTGTAT